GACCAAACACAAGCAAATGGGACTGGATTAAATTGTGAAAACTGGGTGGCATGGACAGGTTGGGCCGAAGGGCCTGTTTCCACGCTGTAAACCTCTATGAGCCTGTGACCTGATTTCCTTCCCTGAAGGACATTAGTGAGCCAGATGGGTTATTAACAACGATGGGCAACCATTTGATTTTTTTAATTTTCGCTGAATTGAAAGTCTATCCTCTGGCGCATCGAACGCAAGTCCCTGCGACATTGGGTCCCTAGTCCAGCGACAATACCACCATCCCATCGCTGAGGTGTTGATGCTGCGGGGTTTACGACAGGTAAACAATCGACATTTGTTATTCACTCAGTGTAGGATTGTACAAATCTTCTTTTATTATTCACTTCAGAAGAAAGTAGACCAGGGGCTCAGGGCTCTTCAGGGAGCGAGTCTGCTCAGTTTAAAGCATTTAGGTTGTGAAGCTTCTAAACCCAGCGAGATTGGTTCAAAATCTCCAGGTTATAGGAACCGAGAAAGTTTATGCTCAGATTTGCAAAAAGCTCAAAGTATATCATTTGGAAAGCAATCATTGAATTGTCTCCAAGGTCCACAGGGTGGAAGGAGACTGAGAAACAGGCTGTTAAGACCTGAGATGAGAGATGAACGTCTGAGACAGAGAGTGTTCGGGAAAAGGGATGAAATATTGTTTCCCTGCGTGTGCATTTTCAGATCAATCTGTCTTCTGTATTTAGCCTGTTTTCTTTATCTTCTTTCCTGTGATAAACTTCTGCTCTGCCATCAATGAAAGTCTACAGGCTCACGTGAACATACCCCAGTGATAGAGCATCACTTTAGCCAACAAATCAAAAACCAGAATCTATCAAGCTGGTTATCTGTTTCAGATATGATGGTACAATCATTGGGATTTGTACTGACCCACCGACGGCGCGGCGCTCCCTCAGCGCTGACCCACCGACAGCGCGGCGCTCCCTCAGCGCTGACCCACCGACAGCGCGGCGCTCCCTCAGCGCTGACCCTCCGACAGCGCGGCGCTCCCTCAGCGCTGACCCTCCGACAGCGCAGCGCTCCCTCGTGAAGGGAGGGTGAGGAATCCAGGTCAATGATGTTGATTGTGGGAGGGGCTGAGGAGGTTGATGGCAGTAGATTGGGAGAGACAGACATTGAGATGATGGAATGGTACGGAGGGAGGAAAAGAAAGATCGAAGGCTGCAAGATCAAGATGGGTGGGATATTGAGTGGACAGAGGGAGGAAGGGAGATGAAGTGAGATGTCGAGGTTGTTGAGAAAGGGAGACACAGAACAGGGGTGTAATGGGGAAGTGCTCGGGGGAATGTGAAGATCCTCAGGCAAATGGATTCCCCATGATGACAGTTGAGAACGTTACAATTTGGGCCTAGTCCATGGTTGGAGCCTGAGCTACAGCTGAGTTGTCTCATTTGCCAGCACCGGCCATCCTCCATCTTGAGGCACAGTCCTATTCACAACCATATTCACATCTTTCTTGACGTCACTTGGGCCTTCTGTTAGCAACCAGGCCCAAGCCTTGAAGTAGGCCCTGTAGCCTGCATCCTGAGGTAAGACAGAGAAAAGGGCGGGGGAGTGCGGGGTGAATGGCACGGACTCCTGGATCGCAGCCTTGAGGGCGCCCCCCTCACTCTGATGGGTCACGCGAGGCCTGAGTCAGTAGGCCTCTCCTGCAGCACCGCCATCGCACCAACACCTGACAGAACGAAGTGCCAGACGATAAACCCTCCTCGCTTTCTTTTTCATCTTCTTCACTTCAGTTTGACACTTTTTTGTTTAAAATATAAATTTCAAAATAATTGGAAAAGCCCTGACACCACCCAGAGGGTGAACCGGTTCCTGAGCGGAGAAGGCAGGGAGAGTATGAGAACGCATTGAACCAGGGCAACACCGAACACGATGCAGGCATAAGCAACACAGCGCTTCCTTCTGAACAAGACACATGTAGACGCCAACTTAGTATCAATATTTATATCATATATATATTTATATACTGTATACATCATTCCAGCCAATTAAATCAAATCGAATCTTGCAGATCATGGGCGTGCTCAGGTAGTCTCTGTCTCTTGTTGACCCAATGGTGGCTCTTGGTTAGGCTTGGAGCAAGGCTGGGGAAAACAGCCAATAGCGGGACAGCTTTTTGCTGAGCTTGGTGGCCATCTTGGCCTGTATCCCAGCAGAGGGGTCTCTGCCTCGGGGTTGGGGGCGGGGGTGGTGAATGGATGGGAAAAGCCAGACGATCCTCGCGGTAACATCCAAGGGGCTGCGGTGTCAGAGAAAATGTGCGACATATCTAACCAGCCCCACCCTCTCTCACAGCGCTGCCCCCCCCCAACCCAAACCCCTCCCAACAGCTCCCCTCTTGGGACCACTCCACAGACACACGCCCGCTCGCCCCCCTCCCATTCCCACTCCCATGCCACCTGCACCCACAAAACATCCCCCCCCTCCCTCTCCCTCTCCCTCCCCCAACGTACCCCCCCTCAATCGCATGGAATACCCCGATCATCCAGAAAACAAACACAGATAATTTTATACAACTCAGATATACACTCCACGGACAGAAAAGAACGAGAAACACAGTTTTCATATTTACAATGTAGGGAGGGAGTGCGGGAGTTTGGGGGGGCGGGGTATGTTTCTGAACACTCTCTACACAGTGGGGGGTGGGGGCTTGTTAGATACACTGCCAGGACAGGGACAGCATGGGGTTAGATACAGAGTAAAGCTCCCTCTACACTTCCCCCCCACCTCCCTCCACAATCCCCAACCCCATCCCATTGCTCTCTCTCCCATTGGTCTAAAGTGGATTTTGGAGGTGGGGCATTGAAAGGGGCTGGGAGGTAAATTGGGGACTGGGGGGTGGGGGGGGGAGGCGCGGGCAGGGGTTTTGTGGAGGGAGGCCCGATCGGTCAATGGGACACACCCCCGCCCAATCCCATCCCCCGCAAACGCAGACCGGGCCCAACCTCCGTCCTGTCCATCTTGGTCAATGGCCATCCTAGAGATGTTGGTTGGAATGTGGGGCTGGGGTCAAGAGGGGTCAATGCTGTACGTTCACTGGGAGAAATGGAGAATAGTCTCAAAGCTGAGGGAGAAAGAGGAGGGGGGGTAGGCTTAGCGAGCTGTGGTAGCAGGCAGGTCTTCAGTGGGATCTTGCTGTTCTCTCCTGCAGGAGGAGGGGGAAAAGGGGCAGAGTTTGGGCCAGGCGCCTCTCCATCATGATTCCCTCCCTCCCTTCACTCCCCCACCCCCGCCATGCCTAGTCCGCACTGCCTCCCCTCCACCATAACTCCTGCTGGAGGCCACTCGGCCCCTCTAAATGAAATACTCTTTCTTCTCCTCCGAGCTTGAGTGACCGACCTCCGCATTAATAATGGCTGTATCCGCATCTGGAGCGTCGTCTGATCCCTTCGCTTCGTGTGTGAGGTAGGTTCCTGCCAGAGAGAGAGGGAGAGAGAGAGATAGAGAGATAGAGACAGACAGAGAGAGAGAGCGAGAATGTGTGTGTGTGTGAGAGAGAGACAGAGACAGAGAAATAGATAGAGAGACAGAGAAAGAGAGTCAGAACATATGAGAGAGAGTGAGAATGTGTGTGTGAGAGAGAGATAGAGAAAGAGACAGAGACAGAATGTATGAGAGATAGACAGAGAGGTAGAATGTATGAGAGAGAGTGCGAGAATGTGTGTGTTAGAGAGAGAGTGAGGCAGAGAGGGAGAGAATGAGAGAGAGACAGACAGAGAAAGAGAATGTGTATGTGAGAGAGAATATGCGAGAGACAGAGAGAGAGTGAAAGAGACAATGTGTGAGAGAGAGAGAAAATGTAAGACAGACGGAGAGAATGTATGTGACAGAGACGGAGAGAGATAAAGAGAGAGAGAGAATGTGAGAGAGAGACAGAGACACAAAGAGAGAATGTGTGAGGTATAGAGAGAGACAGAGACACAGAAAGAGAGAGAATGTGTGTGTGTGTGAGAGAGAGAGAAAGGGGACACTCTGAAAGAGGTCAATGGAAATGGCACTGTTTCCATGCTGTGGCCCCATTTGCCTTTCTGAGGGGGCTGCACATATGTAGCACCTTAAGTTCGATGGGAATAAACTCTGCCTGACCAGTCCCAAACCAAAACCCAATGCAGGTGACAACATGAGCGGTCAGGGTCATCCCACCAAATGCTTGGTCAAGGAGGGAATGCTTTGATGCAGAGTCTTCGAAGAGGGTGGGGAGGGAGAGAGAGGGCAACAAGGGAGAGAGGGACGGTAGGTACAGGGAGGGAATTCCAGAGCTCAGGGCACAGACATCTGAAGGCATGGCCTGGAGGAACAGGAGGGTCATACGGGATGCAGGGAGTTACAGAGATAGGGAGGGGTGTAGAGGATGCAGGGAGTTACAGAGATAGGGAGGGGTGTAGAGGCTGGATGAGGTTACAGAGATAGGGAGGGGTGTAGAGGCTGGATGAGGTTACAGAGATAGGGAGGGGTGTAGAGGCTGGATGAGGTTACAGAGATAGGGAGGGTTGTAGGGGCTGGAGGTGGTTACAGAGATAGGTAGGGAAGTAGGGGCTGGAGGAGGTAACAGAGATAGGGAGGGCGTGTCG